CTACAAGTACTGCTGCCAGCACTAGTATTACTCTTCCTATCATAACCACTCCTTTCCCTATAGGTACTAGTGAACTTACAACTAGCACTACTGTTATGGATGTCACTACTCCTTTCCTTACAAGTACTACTGAACTTACAACTAGCACTACTGTTATGGATGTCACTACTCCTTTCACTACAAGTACTAGTGAACTTACAACTAGCACTACTGTTATGGATGTCACTACTCCTTTCCTTACAAGTACTGCTGCCAGCACTAGTATTATTCTTCCCATCATAACCACTCCTTTCCCTATAAGTACTACTGAACTTACAACTAGTACTACCGATACTGTTATCACTACTCCTTTCCTTACAAGTACTGCTGCCAGCACTAGTATTATTCTTCCCATCATAACCACTCCTTTCCCTATAAGTACTACTGAACTTACAACTAGTACTACCGATACTGTTATCACTACTCCTTTCCTTACAAGTACTGCTGCCAGCACTAGTATTATTCTTCCCATCATAACCACTCCTTTCCCTATAAGTACTACTGAACTTACAACTAGTACTACCGATACTGTTATCACTACTCCTTTCCTTACAAGTACTGCTGCCAGCACTAGTATTATTCTTCCCATCATAACCACTCCTTTCCCTATAAGTACTACTGAACTTACAACTAGTACTACCGATACTGTTATCACTACTCCTTTCCTTACAAGTACTGCTGCCAGCACTAGTATTATTCTTCCTATCATAACCACTCCATTCCCTATAGGTACTAGTGAAATTACAACTAGCACTACCGTTATGGATATCACTACTCCTTTCCTTACAAGTACTGCTGCCAGCACTAGTATTACTCTTCCTATCATAACCACTCCTTTCCTTACAAGTATTACTGAAATTACAACTAGCACTACTGTTATGGATATCACTACTCCTTTCCCTGCAAGTACTACTGCTGCTAGCACTAGTATTACTCTTCCTATCACAACCACTCCTTTCGCAACAAGTGCTACTGAAGTTACAACTAATACTACTGTTCCTAATACTACTACTCCTTCCCCTATAAATACTTTTACTAATAGCACTTATGTTACTCTTCCTTTCACAACCACT